CCCCCCCCCCCCCCCCCCGGCCTCCCGGCACAGCAGGCTCTGATCTGCCGATCCGCAGGCCCCTCTGAAGAGCCCCCTGCTTCCCTCCCCAGGTTCCACAGCTCCAAGTCGGGGAAGATCTACCTGCACGACAACATCCGGCTGCTCTTCTCGCGCAAGTCGATCGAGATGGACTCTGGGATCCCTTACGAGCTGAAGTCCTTCACGGAACTTCCGCGCAACCCCTGCTACTCCCCCCGGGCTTGAAGGAGGGAGCGGGGGAGCAGCAGCAGCAGCAGCAGCCCTTTGCCCAAGCCAGCGGTGGGGAGGGGGGGGCAGGGGGCTGCAGACGCTGCTTCTTCCGTGCAGCGGTGGCCACTCTGGAGCAGGGAGACCCTTGCCTGGCCCAGAGCTGCCTTTCACTCATTGGATCCAGCCCAGCCGGGATCACAAACGCAGCACAATTCTGTGCAGGGTGCAGGAGGCCGGGGAGGAGGGGAAGGAGAAGGGGGCGGGGGTTGCCCGAGGGGGGTGGGGCTCCTGCTGGCTTTGGTAGGTGGGTGGGGAGGGGGCCTGGGCACTTGGGCCACTCGGAAGCATGGGCAGAAGTGGGAGGTGGCCTTTTCCTCGGGGGACTTTGGGGGGGAGGAGCTCTTTTTAGGGACCGAGTTGGATCACCAGGCAGGAGAGACTTTGGAGCCCGTCCAAGCTAGCTGAGAGAAGGGAGCTGAAGAGGGCACTGCAGGGGGAACAGATCAAGCGTAAATGCTCCCCTTTCCCAGGAGGCCACGAAAGCTGTAACTTTCCAAGGACAGGTGAGGGGGTCTTTCCTCCCGGCTGCTGCTTCAGGCTCCCTCCTCCACCCCTGGACCAGCTGTACAAAACCAGGCCCTAGGGTTGCCCAGGGAGGCTCATGCTGGCCTCTCAGCCCTGGTCCACACAGTGTGCGTGTGTGACCAAAAGAGAATTGATCGCTGGATGCATGAGGCAGGGCTTGTGAATCAGTGTAAGTGTTTGCTTTGCCTGTGACCTGAACTATCACCACCCCTGTGGGTGCTTCTGCCGAGGGCACCGACCAAGCTGGAGATGGTAAGGCAGGAGGGGCTGTTTGAGGGGCCCATGGATAGCTTTGAATCTGTTACAGTTTGAGTTGGACCAGTTTAGAAGAAAGGAAGCCTTGCTGTGAAACCCAGGCCTGCTCCCTGTGGCCCCAAGCATTAGGTTCCCCTGGTATCATTTTGGTTTGGGTTGCATCTCCTACGTTCTCGCTCAAAAGGGAGCAGGTGTGATGAAAGGGGCTACAATTACAGAGACTTGAAAATATTTATATTTAAAAGGAAAGGAAGAGAGTCAGGCAGAAATGTATGGGATACTTTCTTCTCTTTCCTTTTTTTTGGAACAAACAAATTCTATAAATGTGTGTTTGGAAAAAGTGTCTGTCTACCTTGATGTTTTCAAGAGGGTCTACTCCCACTGAATAGGGGAGGGGGCCTGGAATGAGACTGTTGAGGAGGTTGGGTGACCTGATTTTGGGTGGAGGGGAAGGGAATCGGCCCATTACAGTTGGAGGACAGTTGCAACTGACACATGACAGATTTACACTTGTTGGCTATAAGGAAGCCTCATTCTCTACAACAGCAGGAGTTGGGCCAGACTGGCTAGTGAGGGAACAAAAGTGCCATGCAGTAAGTTTTGCAGCTGGATGATTTGTCTGCCCCCCATCCTGGAGGTTTCTGGCTATGCTGCATCAAAGTTTGAAATTCCCCAGTCGAGAAGCAGCGAGAGACAGAGAGACAGAGACAGAGACAGAGAGAGAGAGAGAGAGATTTTGTGGCCCAGTGGTTAGAATGCAGTATTGTAGGATAACTGCATTCCCACTGCCAGCAGTTCAATCCTGAGCAGCTCAAGGTTGACTCGGCCTTCCATCCTTCCAAGGTTGGTAAAAGGAGGACCCAAATTGTAGGAGGCAACATGTGGACTCTAAACCTTCCAGAGGGGGCTGTGAAGCGCTGTGAAGTGGTGTATAAGTCTTAAGTCACGGGTGTCACACTCGATTGTGTCACATGATGTGACATATGACTTTTTTTGCCTTTGGGGAACCAGGGTGGGTGTGGCCTGCGTGGGAAGCATCCAGCCAGTGGGCTGCCAGCTCGACACCCCTGGTCTAAGTGCTACTGCTATTCCCCTGGACCCATCAGGAAGTTGCTGATGTGATGAAAGCCTAAGCTAATTAACTTAATTAAAACTTAACAGCAACCTGGGCAATTTACAAGAGCCCTGGTGGCACAGTGGTTGGCATGCAGTATTGCAAGCTAACTCACTGCACTGACAGAAGTTCGATCCTGACCAGCTCAAGGTCAGCTCAGCCTGCCTTCCAAAGTCAGTAAAATGAGTGTCCGGATTTTGGGAGGCAACATGTTGGCTCTATAAACAGCTTAAGAGAGCCTGGGTGCAAAGCGGCATGTAAGTCCAAGGGCGGTTGCTTCACTCTTGTATTCCTGGGAGACTTTTCTTCTGAGCGATCAATGTGGGTTTAAAGGGTGGCTGTGTGAATCCTTGCCAGCATCTGCCAAAAGGGCAAAGGGGGACATTTAATGGGAAGGAAGGCGAACGCATCACACGTAGGCTTTACTGAATGGGAGAAAAGCGAGCCTGAAGGACTCCGGCCTGTACACCCGGTGCTTGGAAGCCGCATTTTCCCTGCCGAGAGACCCTGCAAGGCAAGAGTCCTTCCCCGCCATGAGCGAGTTGTGGTTTTTCTCTTGCATGGAAACCGGGAAACGACCCCCCCCCCTTATTGCCCCCCCCCCAGGCTGCATCCCTCCCTCTCGGGAGTCTCCTTTGCTCCCTCTCGGCGCTCTAACGGGCGCAGCAAATGAGGGGCGAGCCTCGGATACGGAAGGGACGGCGATCTCAGGGACGGCGACCCGACGGAACCTTAAGGAACTTTCGCCCAGAGAATGGCTGGGCCCCTTTGAGGGGGCGGAACCAGCGGCCTCGCGGAACGGTTTTCTCCCCGGAGCGTGACGACGAGGAAACGGCCGGCCGGCGCCCCATTGGCTGGGAAACAGGAAGAGGCAGGCTTTCTTCCCGGAAGCGGAAGCGCGGCGGAGGCTTCGGAGCGGCGGACCGGCGCTGGGCGGGCGGCACGATGTTGGCGCTGCGGGCGGCGTGCGGGGTCTCCGGGAGGCGGCCGTGGCGGCCGTTGCTGCTGGTGCGGGGCGCTGAGGGGGGCGCTGGGCGGGGGGCGCGCTGAGGGGGCGTGGCCGGGGTCGGTCCCTGCCCGCCAGCGCCCCTCAGCCTCTCCCTGGTGGTCTTGCAGGGGGCCCGGCGGGCGGGTACCGGGCCGGCGCGGAGGAGCGCCTCGGGGCTGCCCATGAACACGGTGGTGCTCTTCGTGCCGCAGCAGGAGGCCTGGGTGGTGGAGCGCATGGGCCGCTTCCACCGCATCCTCGAGCCGGTAAGAGCCGCGGGAGGGGGACACCCAGGAGGGCATCTAGTCGGGCTCCGTCGCCACGGCCGCTCCGGCCAAGCGGCGTCCGGCCCCCGCCCGAGGATCTCCGTCCCTTCCGAGCCCCGCCCGCCTGTCCAGCATCGTCCCACCCCCCGCCATCCTTTGCTGAGCCCCCCCTTCCCGGTGGGTGGGTTGGGGGAGCGCTTCTCAGCCGCGGCCCCCAATTGTGGAGAGGCCGCCCGGATCCCTTTTAGATACACGGCTTGCGGGTGGGGGCGCCCCATCCCCAACGATGAGCCGCTGCTGAGCCCTGCAAGTTGAGGCAGCCACGAAAACGCCGTTTTGGTCCTTAAAGCCAGCAGGCCTGTGGGGGGGGGGGGGGTGTCCAGCCTTTGCCTCCCCCCGAAGCTTCTTGCCGTGGTTGGGACTGGGGGCTGCCTCGGCAGGGTGGCTGCCAAGCTCTGGTCGGCTGAGCCCTCCAGGCAGGAGTCGCACCGGGAGGGGCTGCTCAGCAGAGCTTGGGCTCCGGCCCGGCCCTCCTCCTTTCTTGCTCAGAGGTTGCAGGCCCTTCCTCACCCGCTTGCGGTCTTCTTGCGGGTAGTCCTCGACTTACAACCACAGCTGAGGTCAAACTTTATGTTGTTAAGTGAGTTTTGCCCCATTTTATGACCTTTCTGGCCACAGTCGTTAAGTGAATCACCATAGTTGTTCAGCTAGTTACATGGTTGTTAAGTGAATCTGGCTCCCCCATTGACTTTACTTGTCAGAAGGTTGCAAAAGGGGATCGCGTGTCCCCAGGACATGCTTCAGCAGTCCTAAGTGAGAAAAATGGTCATAAGTTGATTTTTTTTCACTGCTGTTGCAACTTTGATCACTAAACATACTGCTGTAAGTCGAGGACTACCTGTGTTACCTTTCCTGCCACGTGCCCAGAAAAACTTGGAGCTGGCTTTACATTTTTGTCAGCTAAGGGTGGTGGCGATGGGCCGCCTGAGGACCTGAGTTCCCAAAAACTGCCAGGCTATATGGCTCAATTAGCCAGAGAGCCGGATGCCACCATGCTTGTGAGTTGTGTGGGGAAGGAATGAGCCCGTCTAAATCTCAGCTTCCTTGGAGATTGTCTACTGCCAGGCCAGAAGCATCTCTGGCCTGGCTGCAGCTGCTTTGTTTTTGAAAGAAGAGGCCGGACGACTCCCTCTTTAAGGATGGACTAGACGACCTTGGTGGGGGCTGTTTCACCGGGAGGTTTTCCAGTAGAGCTTGGACGGCCATTTGTCTTGGTCCCAACCAAGCTGGTGATGCTCAGATTGCCGGAGAGCCGGAGAGAAAAGGATGATTCTTGCCCTTTGCTGATCCTTGCCAGGGACTGAATTTCCTCATCCCACTCCTAGACCGCATACGCTACGTCCAGAGCCTCAAGGAAATAGTCATCAACGTGCCAGAGCAGTCGGCGATTACTCACGGTGAGGAGCCCGGGGGGGGGCTTGACCATTCAGAGATGAGCCCAGCTGAGTTGAGGTGGCCTTGGTCGGGTGGGGTGGCTGGCCCGATTCATTCCTGCCGGGAAGGGCTGCACCACGGAAGGGATCCCACTCAGTACAGGGAGTCCTCGACTTACAACAGCTCATTTAGTGACGGTTCAAAGTTAACCAACGCACTGAAAAATGTGGCTTAGGACAGTTTTTCACACTGACGGCTGTCGTGGCATCCCCAGGGTCCTGTGACCAGAATTTGGATGCTTGGCGACTGGTGTGTCTTCATGACGGCTGTACGATCCCGGGATCCCCCTTTGTGACCACCCCCAGCTGGCTTTTAACCACCAAAGTCAATGGGGGAGGCCGGATTCGTTTAACGGCCACACGATTCGTTTGACGGCTGCAGTGATTGACTTAACAATGGTGGCAAAACTCATTTTAGCAGCTGCCCTGTTTACAGGCAGAAATTTGAGGCTCAATTGTAGTCGTAAGTCAAGGACTGCCTGTAGTTGCCAGTCGGATATTAGCGGTTTGGTTTCATGGT